CTCAAGTAGGTAATCTGTTTTCAAACCTTCATATCACTATTTGAAATAGACTTGGCGCGATTCTGGATTCCAATACGAGTAATACGAAGCTTTTTTTCTCTTTGCTCTCGGACCCATTCCGCAAGTTTAGTATCAAAATCTTTATCATTCACTTTACGCCCTGCGCCATCAAGCCGTTTTTTCTTTTTTTCATTTTCAGCGATTGTTGCTATTATTTTTTTCTTTCTGAGCTCTCCATTGTTGCACATTTTGTCTTGAAACTCCAAATTTCTTAGCTGCTTCCGTGTTATTTTTTGATTCTGCCCATTTCACCACCGTAAGCTTGTAATCCAAGGGGTGGGCTCCACGCTTTCTCTTTCTAGAGTTTCCACCAATTTTTCAACGTCTTCCACGTCTTCCACGTTTTCCACGTCTTCCACGTTTTCCACGTCTTCCACGTCTTCCACGTTTTCCACGTCTTCCACGTCTTCTACGTTTTCCACGTCTTCGAGGACTTCTTCAGAACTCATTGCTCGTGTTGCTCGCTTCAATAAATGGAAAATATTGTTAAAAAAACAAAGAAAAATAAAAATAAATCAGAAATTAAGTAGGTAGTTTAAAAAAAAAGAAATTCGAAAAACAACTGTGCAATTGTTCGTCACGGTGTCACAGACTAAAAATTGCACAGTACTCCCGGCGGAGCCGCAATTCTGCTGGAGATGCAATTGTATTACGGGGGCAATTCAATTAAAGGCTGCAAGTCTATTTTTCAAGTGCCCTCAAGGGGTGCAAGTCTATTAGAGGGGCAATTCAAATAGAGGCGCAATATCAATACAGATTTTACGGTATTAGTGGCCTAGAAAATCAATTTCCGGTTTTCTAGACCACAAAAGCAAAAAATCTGGAGAAAAAAATTTTTGAAAAAAAATTTGGTGGCCTAGAAAGCAAAAATTTTGAAATTTCTAGGCCTAAAAAGCAATTAATCTGGAAGAAATTGATTTTTCGCAAAAAATTCATTGACCTAGAAAACCAAAATGTTGTTTTTCTAGGTCATAAAATCGAGTGATTTCGAAAAATATGACCAAAAAAACCAAAATTTGCAATTTTCTAGGCCACCAAGTCTAGAATATTGGTAAAAATCGATTTTTCGCAAAAAACTCTATGGCCTAGAAAACCAAAATCTAGGCCACGAAATCGAGAATTTTGAAGAAAAAATTCGGTGGCCTAGAAAACCGAAAATCCGATTTTCTAGGCCAAAAAAAAAATCGATTTTTGAATGAATCTGATATCCTAGAAAATCCAAATATCAGATTTATAAAGCCAAATTGTCGAGAATTTTTAAAAAACAAAAATTCGATAAAAACCAAAATTATCAAAATTTTCGAAAAAAAATAGGTGGCCTAGAAAACCAAAAAATCGGCTTTCTAGGCCACCAAACCAAAAATGTGAATTTCAGCTTTTTTTTCAGCAAAAAATCTCAAAAACTTACGGTGTAAATGGCACAATCCGCTGCCTGGGCTGCGGTTGGCTGGACATCCTAAATATTTTTTAATTAATTAAAAAAAATTCAAAAATTCAACAAAAAGTACCATAAATTCTTGATTTCTCGTGGTACAAATTCTGGAAAAAAACAACAAAAAAATTTTCAGAAAAAAAAACTTTAGACACAGAC